GAAGGGAAGACATGGTCGATTGGAAGTGATTAAGGAAATATCGTTTAAGAAGATAGAGGTACGGTAGAAGGGAAAGAAAGAAAGATGGGAAGGGAGGAGAGAAGAAAAGGAGAGATGCTAAGGGGAGAAGTGAAGTAGGAAGGTAAGAAAGTAAAAAATCAAAAGTAAAAAATTTTTTATAAATAGTAAAAGGTAAAAAATAAGTTACAGCGGCTGGATGGGGATCATTTTTCATACCAAATCATAAGCGAATCTAAGGGGAGAAGGAGGAGAGGGAGTGGAAGAAACCAGTGTTGTAAAAGCACGGGTCCGTTCGTAAGTGAAACTAAAAGTAACTCTAAGTAGCAGCACTGTTACAACCCTGTTCCTGGCTTTTGCATAGTTCCACGGTGGAAGAGGCTCTTCCCCTTTCCAGGAGCTCCCCTCGCCGCTCCGAGTCTCCCTAGAGGTCCGCCCTGAATCCACCTATGTACCAAATAGCATTGGAAATCGGCTTTTGGCTACTTCACTATTGATGGGATGTTCACAGCCCATAACTGACACATGTGAAATGCTCAGAACCTTGGTTCCTTATCATCTGTACAATGAATTTGCGTGGTTTTAGCATTTCTAGGACTCCCGGGTAAATTGGCGCAGTGTCCGAGTTGTACCAGCAGATTTCAATAAAAATCGCATCTTCTGTACCATATTATTGTAATGTAACAAAGGATAATGAATCATTGAGGAAGTTTTTCGCTTGCTTTTCTTGCTTTTACTTCCTTCCTTGCTTGTACTTTTTTCTTGCTTTCCTCCTTTCAAGCCAACACATCCTCCTACTCCTTTACGTGGCCTAGGCAAGTGCATGAAATAGCAAATGATCGCACGTCCGATTTCAAAATGTAATAAATGGCAACGCGCACCAGACTAGCCGGTGCGATGATGCGTTTTGTGCAACTCAGTCCATCGAACGATTGCCTATTAATGATTTTCACTGCTTTGTACTTTAGTTTATGCAAGAATAGTTAAAACATTGGAAAACAGTTAAAAATTTCACACACCAGCACATAAAAGCTGAATTCGAAATCTTGAAGGATGAATATCTTTCCGTGATTCCCGAGTTAATAGTTTACCCG